TTGATGTAATTTGAAAGCGCATATTAGTGCGCAATCAAACATTAATATTTATTCATTTATTTATCTAACTATTATCAAGCCATGCTTCAAACTCAAGGGCTCACGAAAACCGAAGCTTTATTCATGATGTATAAGATATGTTCAGTATAACATGGGAGTTTGTCACTTTGACAATTTCTTTCTGGGACAAATATGCGGTAAGTTATTATCTGTACGCATTTGAAAGATATCCAATTGATTATTGCTTTCTCCCTGGAAGTCGCTTTCACCAGAAATTCAACGGCATTTAAGAATCGTCTGTAGATAGTTTTTCTCAGAATAAGCACAATATACTGAACAACCAAATGCTTAAAATGATTCTTGTGAAAGCCAAAGTTCGTAAAAGCACCGTAGCTTGTCAGAATTACAAAATCGCACTGTTGAAGTCGTAAAGCGTCGGGGTATTGGCAGCGAGCGGTTGGCGAGTCGGTCGCGTGTCGTGGCGTCCATATTTCCTCGAGAAGCAAATCGAATAAACAGCGTTACATAGGTGAATGGCTTTGCATTTGATGATACATGGGAAAACGAGCCGAGTGCTGCGTGAAAAACGAGCAGGTAGAGCAGTTTGTGGTGGGAAAAAACGGCTTCCGATGATGCATCTCGTGCGCACGTCGACCACAGTAGACCGTTGAAATACTTTCTAGAGGGATCGATTCTTGTTTCTGATTTGATTGGCATTTGCTGCGTCTCTCAGCAGGACGTGCTTCAGGTCGTCGTTGAGCCGTCACTCTGTTCGTCCGAATCGCCGGATGCGCCCGCGGCAGCGGAAGGACAATCACCTGCTGGACCGAGTTCGGCAAGATCCACCAATGGATCTGAGGTCAGTTTGTTTTCAAGAACTCGCTCAGGGTGCACCTGTCCCTTTCTCGAAATCCGAGCTGTTTCAGATCTCATCCGGATCGGTAGAGAAGGACGATGAACCTGAGCCTGGAATGACCGGTAATATCTTGGAAATGATCAGCAAAAGCCTGCTAGGCAACGCATTCAAGGTAATCCATCCTCAGCGCACTGCACTTACCACCCATCGCGTTCTGTTTATCCAGAGAAATGGTCATCCTTACACACGTTGTGTACTTTGCGTGTGCTTTAGATACATTCATCGCAACGGTGCGATGATCTTCTTCCAAACCTCGTAAAAGTGAAAGTTTAGGGCATTGGGAAATAGATGGGACGGTGTGAAAGAGATCAAATTGACAACTGTAATTGTAAAACTCATTGCGTTTTTGATTGAAAACCTTGGAGGACGTTAATCTCGAAATCTGAGTAGTAATGTACTTAGGAACTACGTTACAAACAAACTGCATGATTTTTTCTCTAGGTGCAACTCGTTTTGATAATAATCTCAAGCAATTAAATAGAAGAAGAGCAGGGAATAAGATCAATTTACTAGGATTCCCTAAAAAGTAATAGAGCGGCAAATCTCAAAACCCTCAAAATTGTTCAATTGCTAGGTATTTACTGCTCTGAGCTCCTGCTCTGCTTTTACTTTCAAACCTACTTCATGCCCTGTCAAGGGTGCTTCATAATTATAGAACATTCAATTGAGAATATCTCCCTTTCTCATGAAATTTTCCAAACCAAGAGCTATATGTATATGTAATTGGAAAATGAATGCAGGATGTCTTAAGAAAATTATGCACTATCTGCCTAAATTCTTTTGGCTAGTTTTGATTATCAAGTGAGTGGCTTGAAATCAAATGGACGTGTTTTGATAACTTTTTAAACAACAACGAGTTGCAATTTGGTACAAGTCAGACATCAATTACAGAGAAATAACTCCGTTCAATCAAATTTCAGATTATCCTTAGAAATGTTGTGCTGTCTAGATTTGTCTAGATGAGCTATAGAGCACCTGCCTACAATGTATATACATATATATATATACATATATATATATATATACTTATACA